CTCATTTTGTCGCCGCGTAGGGCGAAATTCGTCGTTCGCTCCAATTGTGTTCCTAGCATAAGTTGGTCAAATTGCAAAGCGCAATGACGCTGCTCTTCCGTCATAACATTGAAAATATTGCGCAAAACACCAATTACGTTGTCATCGAATCCTATTGCCAGAGGTTTAGTTTGACGACTAAAAACGTAATCAGGGCTGGGTAGGTTAAATTTCAATACGTTTAACATGTATGCATACTGACTCTTTGAAAAGAGATACACATGTTGTAAAACCTTAATTTCCTCAGCGGTGTTTGGAGATGTAGAGCAGTTGCAAATGACACGTGAAAATCCTTTGCTCGAATTACTGGCATCTGTTTTGGGGAAAATGCCAACACCAAGAAGACTATCAATTTTTTTTGAAGATCCCCGATTTTTTCTTCACAAACAACCACAGTGCCTTTAAGACTTTCGTTTTCTTGCTCGAGGGAACGAACTTTGTCTTGAAGAGAGCTGTTTTCATTTCTAAGGGAAGAAACCTCTGCTCTGAGCATTTTAATTTCATCCCTTAGAAGTTGTCCCTTGGTTTCTAGTTTTTTATCTTCTTCCGATCTATATTCAAAACTACATTCTACGTTATATTCTAAATTAGGTACACTTAAACTTTTATTTGCAAATCCTGCCGTTTTCTCCCCATCACTACATACTGTGGGATCATCTAGAAAAAACCCAATTTAAGATTAGTCTTAATTAATTTAATATTCTATATAAATCGTATTAAAAATTACATTTGATTTTTATTTCATAATGCAAGTGTTAGAGTTATATGTCCTAAAATATTATAATATAATGTATATTAGCATTAATTAATTTAATATTGTATATAAATCGTATTAAAAATTACATTTGATTTTTATTTCATAATGCAAGTGTTAGAGTTATATGTCCTATAATATTATAATATTATTTATATTTTATTGGATTTATAGTGCTAGAAAATCTTTAAAAGAGCCACATCCCTTTTTAATGTTTTTCCATTAATTAATAGTAAAAAAAGTTCACATTGAACTGCAGTAAAATTTTATATTAGAAAAGTTTAGGAATTGAATCACACAACGTCATGTCGATATTGATACTAGTAATAGAGTCAAATCAGTGGCTATTTCCGATTCCTTTTAAACCTTGTAGGTACAGAACTCGAAACAAACAAATTAATAAACCAAATAAACCACGTTTCTAATTATTTATTGTATTATTTATTGTTATTGTTAAATCATAACAATTTTACCATCTTGTCATTTAGTGCATGTAGGCAACCGGATTTTCTGCTTTTCCCCATTCATTCATGTCCATGATGTACCTCACAAATTTCCACGCAAACTGTCAATATATTATCTCTATTCGTTTTGCCTGGTTCTGGACCCAATACGTCTTATCGACATCAGTCCTTACCGACGAAGGTGGAAACCCTGTTTCACTTAAGCCGAGTTTTCATAAGTGAACCAGCGTTTTTAACTTTAAATGCAAATAATGAAGAATATGACTAAAAGGGGGCTAAAAAAGTGTATTTATGAATATTTTGAAGTTGTTGGAGTATATGTTCCTAATGGCATGACTTCCATATTTACATAAATATATTTTATACACAATTTGATATTTAAGTCTCGTCGTAATATAACATGACTTATGAATCCATATGTACTTCGGTACAGGTAGTACTGATGTACAAATAAATAAATATAAATATATAAAATAAAATAATCAATAATGATTTTCCTTAATATTCTCGATTTCATAATCAAAGAACTACTCTACTTACATTCATTGATGGTCATAGCTGTCGTCTCAACATCTACTGTATTGAAGGCAAGTGGAGGTGGCAACTGCAGACTAGGTACTGCTGCTTGGATCCAGTCATCATATTGGCATACATGCTTGCCTCAAAATGTTTTGTCGCAGATTTTCGAGCCACCATTACAGCTTATTCCATAAAGATTTTTCAACATTGGTTTCCATCCATTTTTTACAGCATGGAAAATGTGTTTGCTGTTGCCATTTTTTGAATTATCGCACACTGGAGGTGGCATTCCTTTGAAAATAAAATACAACGCAAAGCTTAGTAAGAACCCAAGGAACGCTTATCGTCATGATTGAATTTGATCAACGAAGCACTGCTTCGCCTCCAGTTTAACACATGATAGCATGGCCTAGCCTCCTTCCAAGATAACTGTGTCAATCAAGGAACAAAAGATAGATAACAAATGGTCCCTGACATATTTTACCGCAAAATATGAAAATATGCATCTGCTGTTTATTCAAAACAAATACAAATATGGACTATTGTGGTCATTGTACCATGTCATCCCATATCATAGGACATGGGGCACTAAAAGAAGTAGAAGTAGCTTTGTTTGGCTGTGTCGTACATTGATTTCATTCACTGCAGTATACGCAGTATACGGTTCCCCTTCCAAGCCTTCTGACTACCAAATTTATGTCAAAATGCAATTATTGTGATTGAATTAAAAATTTTCTCCGATATCATTCATAAAGGGAAAATCGGTTATCGTAGTTTGACAGACATGGTAGAAAAAGAAAAAGGAGGAAGGTAGTCGCCTCGGCACTTGGTTTCAAAACTTTTAAGTCGCACTAAAACTACAATTGAGATCATAATGCATAATGTCTGTCAAAGTGTTATAATTATATTTAATAATAATAATAATGACATGTAAATCGGCTGTTCGTATCGGATGACATGCTATGGATACATATTTAATAGAACCGACCATTAAAGAAATTTTCCTCCTGTTTTTAATGAAAATTTAAAATAAGCAAGCAAGCAAAGGCTATATTCGTGCGGGGCCGACCATGTGATACCCTACAACACTACCATATGTTAGAAGCCCCCTTACTTCTTCTTTGTCTTTAACTCTCTTCTTAGACGTGTCGATTGGCTTCAATTGTGTAATAAGGAATTTTTTTCTGCTTTTGGTTCATTTTAACCCCGAAATATTTTGCGAAAGTAAGATGCCCCGATGTATCTCCAAATTTAGACTAATCTATATGATATGCTTATCTACGATATTTGGCCATATTCGTCTACGAAATCATTTTGTGTATTTCGGATATCGCCTGTAAGTAATGTTGATATTTTATACACAGTAGTGGTCCGTTCTACCCGCTGTCCTAAATTCTAATTTCATGCGGGATTTCGTGTCCTTTGGTTTCTATTTTGTTGGTCAATTTCAACCTCTAAATATATTGCGGACATCTTTAAAAACAATGGGCCTAGCCCTTCTGAGCCTAACCCTACCTTTGTCAAAAGTTTCGTGAGGATCGAAGGATAATTGTAATCTGTATACACTGTTGTAAAGTGCAAGAATATTACAAAATATACACTTCAATATTTAAGTCAAATTGAAAAAATCGCATGCGATAAAAAATATGAAAAAATAAAAAAATGTGACAAAATACTATAAAATCTATATTAACATCATTATTGGCATCTCTTTATGCGATTTTTTTAGATTTTATACTTTTATGCAAAAAGGGCATTCTAAATTTACAAAATTTGTCTAAATCGCTCCAGCCATTCTGGAGATATTAGCATTCTAAATAACATCTCCTTTCTTTGTATATACACATTGTATATATTTCGCTGTATTTATCGGATATATTTCCTATCCGCATCTACGTAACGTAAGGAAGTTCCATATATAATTTCCAATGTGGGAAACCAATATTTCGAGGTGTTACATAATTTTTGGCCAATCAAACTTAGCAACACATGGTGTTGAAGGGTATTAATACCGAATACCATATCAGTTGTTGAAATAAAACATTTGGAACGTTCACGAAAACGTTTTCGTTTTCAAAAAAATAAAATCCATTGAAAATTTAAAAATTTAAATTTTGAAAATACCGAATATAGTCATTATATTGGGGTCTATACGACGACATGGACCTGCATAAGCAACTTTGGTCATCAACCAATTCCACTATACGATACCGTGGATATATCGAATAGACCCTGCCTGCAGACAAAGGACTAAGCTTCTTATCTTTCCTATCTCAATTCGTTTTGATTCTAGCGTGATTACCCCAGACGGACGGACATCGCTAAATCGACATCGAATTTTATGCAGTTGGTTGGCCCAAGGATATGACGTTGCCATTGGTAAATGGTTTACTATTTGAAATTGAACAAGTAAAAAAGCTGTAAGTACCTCCACCATTTGGTACAAATTTGGCAGTTTTCAAAAAATAAAATCTTTTAAAAATTCTGTTAAAATCTTAAAAATACCGAATGTAGTCGTATTATATAGGGTCTATAAGACGACGTGGACCTGCACAGGCAACTTTTGTCATGAGCCATTAAAATATTCAAATGCGAAACTTGGAAAATATCGTTGATAAAAACAAAATACCGAATATAGGGAGGTACCATTTCACTTTTCTGTCATAGGCTGTAGTATCCATTAGGAACTTCAAATATAAAATTTGAAACATTTCCGGTGAATGTCATTAAAATCATCAAAATACCGGAGTGGAGTTACCATTATATGGGGGCTATATGAAAACGTGGACCTACATGGCCCATTTACGAACTTAACCTGCCTACTGGAAAAATAAACCGACTTTGTCCATTTACGAACATATCCTGCCTACTGGTAAACTATGCATGTATGCAACATTGTAGCCTTCCATCTCAATTCGTTCGAAAGATAGCGTGATTACAAGAGACAGGCGGACATCGCTAAATGGTGGAGGTGCAACCAACTTCAGACTGCTGTAACGTCAAGCCACTTGTCCGACAGTTAAAGTGAAAGCCCATTATATGATTATATTGTTACAAGCGTACAATAGCATGATGGAGTGGAAAACCACAAGTGGCTATCGTTAGAGCAATCCATCTTTTGTGTCTCGTACCATCGCTCGCTACCGTGTCTCCTAGTAACGTAGCCCGATTTATAGCAAGCAATTGTTTACAACATTTCTTCATTCATTGATCAGAATATAATTATATATAGTTATAGTTCGAGATGTGTTAAGTCCGCACCGATCTCCCACCATCTTACTAATGACGCCAAGGGTATGCATAGAAAAGCAAATGCACTTCTTAATATCCTTTTAATCTTATTGGTCTTATTGGTTTGGTGTGGTGATTGCTGTCTCTGCTGTCTTTACTTCAAGCGCGCGCTTCCCACTTCCCACGTTGCGAGCGTGGGAAACAAAAATGAAAAACGTCCCAACGAAGCGAATATAAAGGCCAAAAAGCAATACTTGATAAAAAAATAAACAGAAAGCAAAGACTCCGGGTACTCTGTTGTTTACGAATGAGACATGAGAAAATTGAACATCTTCACTAAAGAGCGCGGAACTAGCTGCTACTATCGTTGAGTCTTCTTCTTTTCAGTACAATGATAACATACAAAGCGAATGGTTAACATAATACTTAGAACTATATTCGTCTTGTTCTAACTATAGTGATTGAAGCATTTGCTACATGCGAACGATAACAAAGAGTAAAAAGATAAAAACAATGGTTGTGAGAGAGAGGCTTGCTCATTGCCTCAGCTGTGACGAACAGACAAAACAAAACTTAAAAAAACTAAATAACAAATAGATCTGTTTTAGACAGCGACTAACAGATTTGTATGTGTAAATATCACAGATTTGTTTTAAATAACATGAATTGTTATAAAATCGAATGCTCAGGTAGAGCTCACAATAATTATATCAAGGTAGGGCTATGATACCATATGATTTTAATTTTTTTATATTCTTGGCCTAATATGTCATCTTTTTTGTTTATATATGTGTTTTCTTTTCAATAACAAAAAAATGTTCAGAAAACATTCAAATTCGGGTGTTTTCAAAATGTTCATTTCAACGCATGCATCGACAAAATTTAGAGTTTTTGTAGCGAAATAATCGTTTAGAGATATATAGTACATGATTTTGAAAAGAAGTGTTGACCTTTCATTCAGTTATCGCGGTTTTCAATTATTTATTCAAAATAAATGCAACAAGTTGTTCGATTTTTTATTGTATTGATACTAATTCTGACATTACAAGCCAAACAGGTAGACCTCTATACTTACAATTTTTTCAAAGTTGACCTACCTTCTCTTCATTGTACCATGGTTGTAACTAAGTTTTTTTTTTAATTAATTCTTATCCTCTGTGACAACCCTGTATATTTTTTTCGTAGAACTGTGGTAGTGTGTATACAGCGGAATCTTCATCGGGTTCATTTATAATTCCTATTGGAGACAAATATGGTGATTCCGACCAGTTCGTGTATTTTTCCAGATCGTGGATTTCATTTAGGAGGAAGTTCCCATGCGTGGCCAGTTTTTCAACAAATCTCTTCTGTTGGTTTTGTGCATACTTACAGAGAGGAACAATACTTGATGTATTGTAAATGTAAGTATTTGAGTATCTTTTTTGTTGACTTGAGTAAGATTTGTTGATACATTTTCTTAATATTTTCCGCTCAAGGATTTCCAGTTCTTTGGCTACTATTGGTGAAATGGTAAACCAGACCGGGAACCCATACAATAAAATAGGCCTTATCGCTACTTTATAGAGAAGTAGTTTTGTGTTCTGGGGTAAGTATTTGTTGTTTAAAATGTGTGAGAACTTTCCTAATATTCCTTTTGCCTTTTTTATGATAGATCGTGCGTGCTGGTTGAATTTGAAAAGGTTGGTGAAATGAACCCCAAAAATTTTATTGACGTTTTCAATGGGATTTCAATGTCTTCAAATGTCAACCGTAACAGCTTACTTTCTGAGACTACATATTTTGGACATTTTCCAGAGGCGTTTCGGAAGCAAATTGCGGATGATTTTGAAGCGTTGATTTGCATACCCCGCGTTTTGTAGTAGCTGTTGATAATATTTAAATGGGCTTTTACGCTATTCAGAGCGGTTTTCGGTGAAGCGTCGTGCGAGTAAATCAAGCAATCGTCCGCGTAAAGAATCGATTGCGAATTTTGGCCAATGTGGGGAAAATCGTGCAGAAAAAAGTTAAACATATGTGGCGGAATCTTCATCGTGTAAAAATAAGTGTCTGTAGCATTTGTATATTAATACAACGTGTACATACATATAAGGCTAGTTGTAGTGTTTAACGAAGAATAATGCATAATACATTTTAATTATACTTAAGTAGGAATAAGAATTCAGACGAATGTAGTCAGATATGGAAATCTTTTGGATGAATTTTTATATAAAATTCTGAGATTTTAAGTAGTATCATGGTACAATGAAGAGAAGGTAGGCCAACTTTGAAAAAATTGCAAGTATAGAGGTCTACCTGTTTGGCTTGTAATGTCAGAATTAGTATCAATACAATAGAAAAATCAAAAAACTTGTTGCATTTATTTTGAATAAATAATTGAAAACCGCGAAAACTGAATGAAAGGCCAACACTTCTTTTCAAAACCAGGTTCTATATATCTCTAAACGATTATTTCGCTACAAAAACTCTAGATTTTGTCAATGCATACGATGAAATAAACATTTTGAAAACATCTGAATTTGAATGTTTTCTGAACAATTTTTTTGTTATTGGAAAAAAAAACACATACATAAACAAATAAAGATGACATATTAAGAAAATAAAAGAATTAAAATCATATGGTATCATAGCCCTACCTTGATATCATTGTACCATGCGTATGTGTAAACCACTTAATATTTTTCTCCCTAGCTATCGCCGGTATAGAACTCGACTTCGTTGTAAAATTATCAGCTGATTATTTTTCCTTTCCTAATTCGTAAACATTTTCATCACTTCTTCTTTTCTATCAATATTCGTAGCATTTGGCAAACAGCTGTTGCCTCTTACATTTTCTTACATTCTGCGTTTGTGTTTGTTTACAGAGTACACAGAAAACACAGCGCATCGGCGTCGATTTGAATTACAGCTAATAAACCTCCGCCGCTGAAAAAAATTGTTTCGCTTCGTTGTTTGTCCACAAATAAATTTTGGTTGTTTTTATTGTTTGATGTTAATTAAATATGGAAAATCTGTATAAGGATAAATGTATTCCCGCAGAAAGTAGAAGCCAGTCATCAATACCGAAGCAGCAGGAACGTGCAGCAAACAACAGTTTGGAGAACAACATGGGGGAAACAAAAGCTGGAAAGACAACAACAACAGAGGATTGGTCCACTCTTTCGCAATGGATTCAATGCATGTGTATTGTAACATTTGACCTGAATTTGGGCCAAGCACTTGAATTTATATATCCCAAAGAATTTATGCCCAGCGAACAGGAGGTGACAAACATTTGTTACATGGCATTCCCAGATTCAAATTCTGGTTGTATGGGTGATACCAAGTTTCATATGCGCCTCAGAATGTCACCAGATACAAGTCGACTACAGGAACTGCAACAATTTCGCTGCTACAACAGTGACTGTCCACCCGTTTTGAAGGTCGACCAGTCCCACTACTGGGGATTTGTGTATTTTCGCCAAAAGCGAGATGCCAACTTGCCCCGTGGCTACTTCCAAAAGAGTTTTATTATTGTCACCAGATTACCGTTCTTTAATTTATTCTATGAAATGCTAACACAATTGGCACAAAAATACTTTGACGAAGGCGAAGAGGTCCTCACTAAGGCCTGTCAACAAATTAACAGTGATTGGCCACAACTACAAGTTGGCGGAACTTTTAACTTACCTCTATTCGATCAGTGTTATCAAATTTTAGTGCCCAGAGCAAGTAGTCGAAAAGCTGTCCAGCAAAATTTTGGCTCGGAAAGTATAGAAAAATTGGAGAAGCTAGAACGGCCAATATCGGTGAAAGTAATAGCATCGGTAAATGAGGTTGAACTATTTCACAGTCTAAGCTTCATTGTGGATCATATGTACACGCTGTGGGAGCTGGTATTAACGGCAGAGCCCATAGTTGTGGTCGGTACATCGCCTGCAGATTGTTCACATATGGTTCAGACATTGGTAGCGTTAATAGCTCCTTTGGAATATTGTGCTGAGGCAAGACCTTATTTTACAATACACGACAGTGAATTCAAAGAGTTTACCAGAGAATGTGGAAAAATCCCCCCACCCTTAATTTTGGGAGTAACAAATCCATTTTTTATTAAACTGCTCAAGGATTGGCCGCACATGCTGCGGTTAGTTGATAATCAGGTAAATATTAATTTCAAAAACCTGCACAAAAAAAGGTTTTAATCTGGTTTAAATTGTATTTTTACAGCTAAACATGCAAAAGCAACAACAAATTGCCATTAAAAACTCCCGCAACACATCTTCCGTAACATCCTTGAACAGCGTTGGTGGCCTAAAAACTGGAAATGGAAATTCCACATCACTAAACGGCAGCAATGGTGAGGGCTCTGCTCCTGGTCTCTACACCAAATATAAACCATTTTTGAAGAAGGATAAATCCCTTATTAAGAAAGTTTTACTGGGTCTCAAAACAAAAAGACCAGAACATGTACAAACTGCACTGTTACGTAGGCACCTCTTAGAATTAACACAAAGTTTTATGATACCTTTGGAGCGTTACATGGCCTCACTAATGCCATTACAAAAGGATATAAGTCCATTTAAATCAGCGCCAAATGCAAATGCTTTTAAACTTGATGATTTTCTTGCTACACTAGAACTTTCCGGACCACACTTAACGTCACCGCTAAAGGGCGATTGGAAAGGCCTGTATCGACGTTTTTATAATTCACCAAACTTTCGCGGTTGGTATGAATCCCGACACAAAGAATTACAACTTACCCTCCAGGATTTACAACTACAAGCTTTATCCGAAGCGAATTTGGAGCAGTGGGCCCGCGATAAACAAGAAGTGGAAATTATTGACATGATATTAAAATTGAAACAAAAATTGAATCTCTATAATGATAAGTTATCAACTGAATCTAGCTCATGGATTGGCAGCAATGGCAATACAGCAACAACTACACGTGATCAAATAAGAGCTCAGATAAATTGTATGAAAGAGCTGCTACCGAACGATTTAAAAAATGTCGTTAATATATGATAAATGAATGAACGATGTTGAGGAATTAAAATTCGTGGAATGGTAGTTTTAGTGGGATTAGAAAGTTTTGATTTTAGAGAGAGTAATTGAGGTTTACAACATCATATGAAGTCCTATGTCATCGATCAAATTGTACAACATTTTCCCATTAAGATAACACTTAGATGTTATAGTAACTGTTATCATAAAATATTTGAATTTGTAATTATTTGACAGAGCTTTAGATTTGTAGGGTGTTTTGAAATCGAATTTATTACCTCAACAGTTTAATCTCTCGCAAATGATTTTCAAAACTAACGACTCTTTCCAAGGATATTAATGTTCCCTATTAAAATCCAATCCATTTATTTTAAATTTGTTATATAAATGTGTGCATGTGTTTATCAATGTAGGATTACGTTAGTTGTAAGTAATAATATAAAGAATTGAATCATGATCTAGATAAATGTCGAATTGTTTAATTTAAGTTGTATAATATATTCTTAAGATAATTATCTATAATTATTACTAAATTGTAATATTTTAAGCAGGTATATAATCCAATAAAATAGAATAATTTGTGTTAAACTCTATTCTGTAACGGTCTCTGGTACATCGTTCGGTAAAATCATGGTCATAAAGGTAATATTTCAAGAAAAGTTTTAATATCTGATTTTAAATCTATTCGCTTCAAGTAAAAGCCTCAAGATTTGTTCAAGGGCCATTAAGAAGAAAAAAGGCTTTTGTAGTCCATTTCATTTGGATGTTATGACCTCCAACAACCATGAATTAAGGGTCAAAATATCCACATTCCTGGGGTAGTGAATTCTCACATTCGGGGTATGTAATTTTTGGATTTACGACACACAATCGATATTTATTAGTTCACACCATCATGAAAAATATACAAATTTTATTTGGCATTCTTCGTGACGCCAGTAACTCAATGAGACAAATAGTTGTGCATACTTTTAGGCTTGCGAGCATTTAATAACACCCCCAAATCACCGTACATAACTCTGATTCGTTTTGTGTGTACAAAAATTACCCTCAAATGAAGGGTATCTATCTTGCGGTTCAACCACTTAAGGTCAGTCAGCAGTCGTAATACAAAAAAAGTTGAAGAAAACTTGATAAGCTTAATGGCATTTAATGTGGATATATGTAAAAAATTCACCAATCTTCCGATAAAATAAAACTGCATCTTATTTCAATTTTAATTTCAAAACTTTATTTAGCATTAAATTTCATGACAAAATAAGCATTTATTTTTTAAGGGAGAAAATCAAAAAAGCATCACAAAATGAGTTAAGTTTAGTCAATGTCATAAGAAATTTGGAGTTAACACTTAACGTACATTGAATATTGTTTCATAGCGTTACTTTAAAATGGCATTAACGTTGAGAAAATTAAATACAATCTAAACTGAAATACATTTTCTTCAGGGATTCGGTTGATATTTGGCTAAATATAAAAATTAAAACATTTTTATGTGATTCATTAATTACTAAAGAAACCGATATGATGACAAATACTTATTGCTATCAGTATTGAATTTGGAAAGTATCTATAATTTATTATTGTAATATTTAAACTAATTCTAATTATTAATCTAAACTCGGTAATGATATTAATACCTCACCTGCAGGCCGAGCTTCACCTCTGTCATTCGATACTAGAATACGTTCAGCGTCCTGAGCATTAGTTAGTGAAACAATTTCATATGAATTGCTGTCTTCGGTAATCTCTGAAACTTCAAATGTAGTTGGAGTCAATATTTGTTCGGTGACTTCAAGGCTTTCGATGCGTGTAGTTTCGAGACGATAGAAACCATTTTCATCAATACGATATGTAAAACGTCGATGGCCGGAGGGTAGTTGAAAATCATGTTTTTTGATTAAATGCACCGAAAGGCTTTTTCCGTTTTTGAATGATTTCTCACAACAATGGCAGAGGTAGATAAATGTGGTGTTTTTGTGAACTTCAAAGAAATGCTACAAAGACAAAAAGATTAAATCTACTCCAAAAAGCCGACAAATTTTTGCACTAGATAACATTCTAAAATGTTTTCTTTTACTTATCTCACCTTTCTTAGAGCCTGAAATGTTTTAACAGCATAAGTGCAACCAGATTCCTCACAGCGATGCACCTCTTGACTGTGCACCAATTGAACGTGCTGATTTAAATCCGATTCTCGTACGCATCTATATTCGCACTCTACACATTTGAAAGGTTTTTCTTTCAAATGTCTATATCTTACATGTGTAGCTAAGGCACTGGCTGACGAGCAGGTCATATCGCACATGGTACACTTAAAACAATTAACATGTTTCAGCATATGAGAACGTAAAAGTTTTTCGGTAGCAAAGTATTTTGAGCATTGGGCACATTGATATTTTTGAGCTGAAACAATAATAAAAATGACAAGAGCAGGTGGCGTTAGCTCATTAGCTAGCTGTGTCCCCAAACAGAATGGATTACGCAAATTTTGCATTTATTCTACTTACTGTTATTTTCTGGTTGCCGTCGTAAATGGTCAAATAATGTGGTTTTCGTGCGGAACAATTCTCCACAATGATAGCAGGCTACTTGTTTTTTATTCGAGTGCGTCCTTATGTGCTCGATGAGGCGATATTTGTTATCCATTTGTTTTTTGCAAAAATTCCAGTTGCATTGAATTTTTGGCCTTTCGTCGTCTGGTGATTTTTGTATTTCATACTCGAAGGAGGCATGTTGTACTATATGGTCCTGGAACTCTACTATCGATATAAATGTTCGATTACAGTCCACCCATTCGCAGCGAAAATCATTATGCAAATCGGGTATTTTATCACATTCTCTTGGCACAGCATTACATTTTGGTATCGAGGGATTGGCTTCTAGTTCATTTTTTCCATGGACCAACAGTCCATTGTAGTATCCATGATAGTATATGTGGCGTTGTATTTCTGTAATACATGCAGTCGAAAAGGAGCACGCACCCCAAACGCAGTTATAATTTCCATTCGTATGCGGCTTTAATGTCTCCAAATGTGTTTCAATATGACCATTCAATTCCCAATCATTGGGAAACATCAATCCACAACCAATCCAACTGCAAGGTATTAAGGGCACATCAATTTTTCTCTTTTTATTATTACTCATAGTTTTTTGTTTCGTTTGTCAGACACGGACAAGGACTTTTTTGCAATGATTTTCTGTTGTCCGATCAAAGTGGTCCTACACAAATGACACTATTTGTCGGCCGCGCTCATTTTGTTTACCAAATTTGACAGGGTTGTATATGGCCATATGTTGTGCAAATGAAACAGCGTTGTAAAATTTGGGCACATAACGTGTATGCAGTGGAAAGGGATAACAAGTTTCATTAAAGTACGTTTACATACAAATGTTAATCCTCGTTCATTTTGGTATGCTCTTTCATACAAAAACAAATATTTTAAAAATATTGCATTTTCTGTTTCCAGTTTTCTGTCGAAATTCCAACTCGTGGATAAAAAGCGTACCTCGAATGAGAGAGAAAACAAAATTTATAGCTGTACAATACAGTTTTATCACAAAATTGTACAATTTGTTAACTATTTAAGTCGAAAATTTGTATTTATTTTGCAACCAAACTTGGAATAATTTAAATTATAATTTAAATTTGAAATAATTAAAAAATGTATTCAGGGGGTAGCTTTGTTCTACCTTCTGTATTTTTGCCATAGATTCATTCACCTGTATACCATGGTTCTTTTAGGAAGAAGCCAGCCGATGACTTAAGCCAGTCAAAAAAGCGTTTTATGTATTCTTACCTTTTTTCTAATAAGATTATCCATCCTTGTCAAATTTCATCGAATAAAACACAGGTTCCCATCTCTGTATACAATGAATTTATCCCAACCAATTGTTAGAATGGCTTTATAGTTTCTATAAACATAATGTTGTTATTGTAAAATATTAGTTGTTGTAGTTGATGCATACACCTTATAAATACACCTTGGATTTATAAATATAAATTTTGAAAATGAGATGTTGCCAATTGAATAATTTTGAAAAAAAAAAACATGAACATATGATTGCCTGACTTTACTTTCTTAATACTACCATGCTACAATGGTTGCACCTGAATTTGAAATAATTTCAAATTATTTTCTTTATTATTCAAAACAATACACACGCATATACCATGGCAGAAGAATACAGCGCATCAGCGCTTGGGAGCATTGATATGTCAAAAAATTTAAATGTTTTTTCAAATATAAGTAGATTTTTATATGTTTTCTTATACCACGTCATTCGTTAATCGCGTTTTCAACAATTTTTACAAATTTAAATAATTTTTCATTCAACATTTTCAATTCCAAAACTGGTTTGACAGTTCATTGTCCCATCAGCTGTGGCGACGCGTCTACCTATATTCTTCTACCATGGCATATACAAACGGTGTATATGTGTATAATAGGGGCACCAAAACAAAATATTTAGGAGGAAGCTTTGTTCTACCCATGGTAGAAGAATATAGGTAGACGCATCGACGCAGCTGCTGGGACAATGAACTGTCAAACCAATTTTGGAATTGAAAATGTTGAATGTAAAGTTATTTAAATTTGTAAAAATCGTTGAAAAACACGCATTAAAATAACCTCCACACGACGTTGTATTAGAAAACATATAAAAATCTACTTACATTTGAAAAGAAACTAAAATAATTTTGACATATCAATGCTCCCAAGCGTTGATGCATTTACCTGTATTTTTCTACCATGGTTCTACCCATGGTACAATAAAAAGTAAGGTAGAGCTACCAGCTGATTACAGTTTTTTTCTGAGTGTGCCCGACTTTTGTCAAGTTTGTGTATGTATCTATTGTTTTGAAAAACAAAAACAAAATATTTTTAAAATCGATGATTTGAAGAAAGTAACACTTCGTCCCGCGTATCAAAGATGATAATCAGTTTTACCAAGGAATTAAATGATTGAACTGTTTAGAGCATCTTTTTGTAAGAAAACCCAATCATTTCATTAATTTGTCGCGTTTTGTAGATCATAATAAAAATGGAGAAAAATGCAAAATAAATAAAAATAATTTATTGCCTATAATTTTAAATATTTCTGGTAGGAGGCGGGCATAGCATTTGGGGTGTATTCATGGTATAAGAATATAGGTAGACGCATCGACAAAGCTGCTGAGACAATGAACTGCCAAACCAATTTTGGAATTAAAAATGTTGAATGAAAAATTATTTAAATTTGTAAAAATTGTTGAAAAACACGAATTATAAGAAACTCCGAATGACGTCGTATAAGAAAACATATAAAAATCTACTTATATTTAAAAAAACATTTAAAATTATTTGACATTTCAATGCTCCCAAGCGTTGACGCATCAACCTGTATTTTTCTGCCATGGGTGTATTTCAATAGTTCTACGAAGCTGTTCTACCTCCTTATTGTACCATGGGTCTACCCATGGTAGAATACGGACACCTCCTGTAATTGAACCATGGGTTTTTCGTTAAACTACATAAAAACAGGCTATACCCGCTTCCTGTCAAAATTATACAAAATTAAATGCAACAACTAGTTTACGTTTATTTGATATTTTCCCTCACGTTTGAAATGAGTAAAAAGCGCGAAAGATGAATGAAATGCCTGGATATCCTCTCAAAAATATGATTCAAACTGTTTAATATTTCAATTCCATGGCAAACCTGGGTCAAATCTTTAAAACGCGCCACGCAATGTACTTGTCTTCCAACCATTGATTTTGAAAATATTTTGTTTTTATTTTCAAAAATAATAAACGCATACAAAAAATTGACAGAAGTCGGGCACATTGTAATCAGCTGGTAGCTCTACCTTATCTGGAGGAAGAACTACAGAAACTATCTGGAGGAAGAATTACAGAAACTTCATCCTGAGGCCATGGTAGAATAATTCTTCTACCGCCCGCTTTTTATCAGAATTATTCAAAATTAAATGCAACAATTAGTTATCATTTATTTGATATTTTTTGTTCATTCTTAAGATGAGTAAAATAGGGCGAAATATAAATGAAATACTTATCACAAATATGATCCAGCGCGTCCAATCCTTCAATTCCATGCTAAGTCTGGTTAGTATCATTAATACGCGTCCCGCATTATCGTAATAAAAACTATTACATTCTTGCAGTTCTGGAACCGACCAGAAATTGGCAGAAGTCGGTCAAATTGTAATCACTTTACCTTTTTATTGTACATGATTGTGCCATAGTATAAAAATATCAAAATGATCCGAACATAGCCCCCAAACATAATTTAAACCATTTTTTCTCTTTCACACGAAACTATTTCCGAGCTAATTTCCCATGAATATCATTGCGAGTTCGGTCCGTTTCCAGACTTTCATACCACCATCCGATCCCAGAACATAGCAACCATTGAAAATTTCATTTTAATTTAATGGAAATTTATCGAATCCGACAGTCAGTTGCGGGCTGAGGTTACATATCTGTTGGTATGCTTTCTAGAAATTAGAATCTTCGTTCGAATGGAATATTTAACTCAGTCCTCTGGAAGAATAATCTTCTCGTCTTTAATCTTCAAAATCTATATAAACAATTGTTTCAATCCAATTGACTTACGTCCGAAGCAGTCTTATGATTCGAAATGAGTTGTCTTCATCTAACGTAAACTTCTTGTCTTACTTTGAAATAGTTGTCTACACATTCCTACATTTTCTGTTTACATTCAATATTTTGCATAGCATCTTCATCAATTTCAAATCTAAAAAATTACATCTGCAACAATCTTAATACACTTTTACGTTTTAGTTCTGAATGTAGATTTTTTAAATTCTACCCTTAAGCCCTTAAAAATCCATTGCCGTACATATACTTTTTCCCACGACCAGATCGATATTAATGTTTAAATCTCAATTTCGCGATATCAATCTTTTCAAATGCTTTTGTTACAATAAACATTTGAAGATATTTCATGTAAATATTTGCACACTGAATACACCAAAATATTGTTTTTTTTTTTGTATTTTTTATTTCTTTTTTCATTCATTTTATCACTACTGTCCAAGTAAAATTTTAAGAATAGTGTTAAAATACACTAAGCACATAACAAAGACAGACTCAGTTTTTATACACACACCAGGAAATCTATTGTTTACTTGGCATGGGTTTGAGCCTTTCTCATTTGAGTGAGAATGTTGGACAATTCTTCACGCTTCCTCTTGGCACGGATGTGTGTGCCCAAACGGCGTTTCAAGAATTTCAAAGCACGCTTATCCTTGGAAACCTTCAACAATTCCATGGTTCTCTTCTCATAGGGAGCATGACCAACGACTTCACGGACCAAATCGCGCATGAATTTGGTGTGGCGAGTTTGAATCTAAAATGAATCGAAAAAATATAAGTTAGTCACCAAAATATAGTAGGAAACATAGTGTTACAGAATACGCTTTCATGGGCAACAAATGTAAACATTAACTAGGTGCTTGAAGTAATAGCACCCCAAATCTTTTATTCCTTTATCCTAGTCATTGGAACAAACCAAATCATGTAAACAACAATAACAACTACTCATTCAGAAAATGTTCGCAATGTTTACATTTGTGCAAAATGCAATATCATATTCCATTACACTTAACTTCTTTGGAATACTTACGTTCTTCAAACGGGCACCACGCAAGCCCTTGACTTTCTTGGTACCGGTGTATTTGACATTCTTAACTTTGGTGGTCTTGTGGCCCTTGTTGAGACCGACACAGAGTTCGTAGCGTACTGCCATTTTGCCTGCAATAGAAATTCGCACTATTAGTCAACATTTCACAAAACTTTTATATTTTAGCATTGTCAATTTGTGAACACTATTTACAGCATATTCATTTTTGTTATTATCCATATGATGTCGAATATATTTCACATTTTTTATTCATTTTTCCAATCGTCCACCTACCTTAGCAATTGTCAAAAGGCGGAAAGAGCTTTGACAGAGAAATTTGTTTGGTCGCCATTTTTCGCGGCCGTTTTTACACTATTTTGACATAAACATACTGCGAGTTGCCAAAACAAATTACTAAATAACAACGGCCAGACAAGAGGTGTTCACATGTCCTGAAAATGATATCAAACAACGACAAGCCATGATTTATTTAAAAAAAAAAAAAAAAAATAAATATATATATATATATATATATATATATATATATATATATATATATATATATATATATATATATATATATTTGTTTTTATTTTGGCGTGAACATTTGTGGCGTCTTAAAAACATTGCATACTTCGTTCATATTCATGTTTCGACGAGAAATTTCCAATAGATTTTATACAAATCCAGAATACATCGACTCTCACAATAAATGCTCAGTTTCAAAACCGGCAAGAATCTACAAGTTTTGCAATTTTCTCGATATCATAAAGGGAAAATCGGTAGAAGTAGTAAAAACTATTACATCTCTGCAGTTCTGGAACAGAGTAATAATGTTTAGGGTATCTGTCACGTACAAAATTGGTAAAATTGAAACACCGATAAACTTTAGCTATAGAAGTGAATGAAAGATCAGTAGTGAGATTCTGTAACAAATATTTTTGGTTACCGACATATATCGGTACACAAAATTATGAATGAAATTTCCAAATTAAAGTTGACAACACTGTTGCTATCAGTATGTATCATGGTAGAAGAATACAGATAGATGCATCATCGATTAGGAACATTGTTTTGAAAAATAAAAACAAATTAATGATTGGAAAAAACGTACATTACGGGGCGCGCATTGAAGATATTCGCAAGTTTTGCCATGGACTTAAAGATCAAACTGTTTAGATCATATTTTTTTTAAAGAAAATCAAGACATTTAATACATTTTTCGCGCCATTTAATCCATTTTAAAAATGTGTGAAAAATATAGAATAAATGAAAAAAAAAATTGTTGTATACAAATTTGAGCATAGGCTCAGGGGTGTATTTTTATAGTTTTGCTAAGCTGTCTACCTCCTTATCGTACCATGGTTTTGATGTTGCTGTGAACTTTGTAATGCGGGAGGCAACGGGTTCATGATTTTTATAGAAATTTGAACAAAATGACACGAAATATGAAATAATTAATGTTTTCCACTTTTTCAGAAAATATTGACATTTTCAATATGTTTTAATATTTTTGAAATTTTCAACTCTACAGAAGACAGACATTTTTTATTTTTTATTCAAAATTTTCAGTCCTTCTGAAGATTTTTAAAATGTCATTAAATATTCCTAGCATGGTAGAAGAATATAGGTAGACGCATCTACACAGCTGCTGGGACAATGAACTGTCAAACCAATTTTGGAATTGAAAATGTTGAATGAAAAATTATTTAAATTTGCAAAAATTGTTGAAAAACACGAATTATAATAACCTCCGAATGACGTCGTATAAGAAAACATATTAAAATCTACTTATATTTTAAAGAACATTTAAATTTTTTTGACATATCAATGCTCCCAAGCGTTGATGCATCTACCTGTATTCTTCTGCCATGATTCCTAGTTAGTATTTTTAAATGTCAAAATTAATTTTTTCGATAAATGATCTCATTTCTTAGGGATGGGACATATTTTATCGTTGTTCTGGGAGTGATTTGGTTTGAGCAATGTGCAAGTATGAGTGTTCGCTCAGGAAATTTTATGTTGAGAACTAAATGGTTTTTCCATAGTTAAAGATCAAGGGCTGTGGAAACCCCACATTACATTGTTAAGGTGAGAATACATAATACGCTTTTCTGACTGACTTAAGTCAGCGGCTGGCTTCTACATTCGCTGTCTATTCATTGTTTGATTTTTAACTATGGAAAAACAACTTAAGTCTCCAAAAAACGCTTTATATATTCTCACCTTTACAGTTCTAGAACACAGCAAAAATGTAAATCATTTCAATATTAACAAGTTAATCCCATTTGTTAAATCGGTAATGGCAACTCTTTTTTATGTTGTAGCTCATTTATCATTTTCTAATAATTTTTAAATAAATTCCATAACTATTTTGGCCAGACGAGTGGATTTTTTGTAAGGCTAACAAATAAGTCTTCTGAAATACATAAAAAATCTGATATGATCGGAAAAAGAACAATTATTGTTCTTGTCCAGAACTGCAAGAATCTACAAGTTTTTACTACAATAACCGATTTTTCCTTTATGATTTCGAATAAAATTGCAATATTTGTAGATTCTTGTATAAACAATGTGCGCTGAAAGCTTCATGCACACGTACACGATTTTGATGTCATGCATTTTGACTATGTACGGGACACTTTACATTCTTGCAGTTCTGGAACAGACCAATTTTAATATTTGTTGCTCCAAAAACCCAAGTTGTTTGTGCATTTCGTAGGAGTAAATGTTCATTTTTAATGTGAAAAATTGGATGTTGTTATGAAAAAAATGTACACCATGCACTGTTCCAGAACTGAAAGAATGTAAACGTTTTCACTACGATAAATGATTTTCTCTTTACGATATCAAAAAGAATTCCGAAAGAAGTAGATACTTACAGATTCTGAAACAGAGCATTATGTTAGCATTACATTACTTTGTATTATTTTTACATATGACTACCATGACACCATGTTTAAATTCATGCACGCATAAGAAAACATTTGCTAACACACCTTATCAAAATACTTTACATGTCGCCATGTTGCTTTACTACTAGATACCAAAACAATAACAGAAACTATCATCGATAGCAATGGCGTTAAAAATGGTTATCGATTTTTAGGCGAAATCGAATGAAATATATCATCACTAATATGAACCGGCCATGTTATTGAAAAAAGTCTACTTTTCAAGACACGTGTTTAATTCCACAATTTTATGCAGAAATAACAGTGAAAAACCAAACTAAACGCTATAAAAACTATTAAAAACGGTAGAAGCGCTTACAAAGCATCAAAAAATATCAAAAAACTTTAATTTTTGTGATAAAACAAAGGTAAGTTGGATGCCAGAAAATTACGACAATTCGACGACCCAAACATAACCTAAATACACAAAATATATTCGTAGTGGAAAAAAATGGAGAAAAATTCGCAGTGATGATTTTGCACTCGAGTAAAAAAGAAAAAAATACGAAAAACCGAAAACAGTTTTAACACACATAACTAGTGAAAGGAAAACAAAAGCCTGAATTATGTTTGTGATAAAGTGAATTTCTCAGTGTGTATTCAAAGAATTATGTTCAAAATTTTAATGAAAATAAAACAATGATGCTTTGTTGTACCGACGAAGAGGGGCAGAGGTAATGCTGCACCGTACGAAGAGTTCTTATGACATGAAAGTAACGAATCACGGATATTAGCCGGAAAAGGGAACGGAGGAGGGAGTTGGCGGGTGAAGTGTTTTATAAGTATCTTTCTTTTTTGTATTTTGCTATAGCTTCTTCAGCTATATGATGGCAGCAGCAGGCAACATAATCGATAGTGCCAACACCTCGTTTTTTCTTTTTGTTTATGGAAAAATATTTATTTTTTAAATACGTCTGCAAATGACAAACCATAAGATTGCTTTCACTTAAGTGGAGTATCTAAAATTATGTTATCAAAACAAGAAATATGTGTAAAAAATCATAATTATTATCAGGTATGTCTTGAGAACTGCTTGGTACTGCCAAAGTCCATACATATTTTTTTTTAAATATATTTGGTTTTTGGTGCGATAAGCACCAATATATATGCAATCCACACAGATACGATATATATGTATATAGAAGTGTGATTGCACAATTTCTGTTGTGTTTTTTGTTAATATGTCGGCATTCGTCATTTGTTAGTTTTTTCTCTTTTGCTTAGATACGCCAGCTCTATTCCTACATGATTCCTACCTTTGTGGTTCAATAATTATGTATAGGTAAATCAGCTGTGTGCTATTTATTTATGCTTCTTCGATATGGTTTCATAGTTTAAATGTTTCATTTTGCTCATTCGAATAGGCAACGACGGTGGGACATTTGCATATTTTTTTATTCAATTCCATGTGTTTTGTGCATGTGTTGCATTTTTGGGGCGATCTTTTGGCTTGCTCTTTAAATTTTACCAACGTATTTACCACCACCCAATGTCTCACAATCTAATGTAATGTTGCTGTTATTGTGGTAACCTTCAGTTTCTCTTTCCTTTCGTTCGTTCGCTCGGTCGGTCTGTCGGTCGGTCGGTCTTTGGCATTTACATCATGGCAATGTCATATTTGGTGTAATTTTTGTAAAAGAGATATATGTCGGTACAATCATGAGTATGAGTATTGTCGCGAGAGAGCCGATTGTTTTCATCAACAAAATAAAAACAAACAACGTGTTTTAGTTTGTTTCTTTGTTTGACGGCCAGTCGGCTTGTTTTTCCCCACATGTTTCATTATACAAGAAAAAGAAGTAGTAAGCGTTAATGAAGAACCATGTGTTGTTGTGTTTTGCCTGAAGAGTTATTTCGAAGTAATTTTTATTTTCATAATTACCATGTGTGTATTTATCGCTTATCTATCGCCTCTCTATACAATACACGGAAATTCGTTGAAAAAAGCATAACATAGGGGTAAAAATTAGAACAATTGAAATCGGTATTCGGATTTTGTACAATTCGTTTAAGGTATAATTGGTATTTTATACATTGTGTTGAAATTTCTGGAAAAACGACCTTTTATATGTCCTTCACTGTAAGGTGGGGGGTGTGTAAAATGTATTATCAGAAAACTTCAAGTATATATATTCTATATCAATTTAATCATATTTGTCTGGCATTGATAATATATTCAGGATATTGCGTATGAAAAGTGGAACATATCGGTACCGTAAAGCCCCCATCAGGGTAATATGCAGGTTGGGACTGAGACCACCTCAAAAATGGCTCATTTTCTTTTAGTTTTTGATTATTTTAAATAGAAAAGTCATTTTATATTTTCTGGTTTGGTCTCTTGAAATGGTTTCGAATTGCATTTGTATGTACGCCCGTGGTCTTTATGTAAAGTTTCATTTCCGATCTCTAACCAAATCAGTTGTAGTTTTTCGTTAACTCATCGCAAAAAACATTAAATGTAGGTCCATTTTTCGATATAGTCCCCAAATACAGGGTAAGATGAAAAAACTGCAACCAACTTCAGACTGCTGTCATTTCTATACCACTCGTCCGGCAGCTGTTAAAATTATTCCAGTGACAGCTTATTATATTGTTAACAAGCGTACAAAAGCATTTTGGTGAGAATTTTCCTGAAAAAAGTTATTCGTGATGGAATTCAAGCGTGATAGTGTGATTTCTTTATATTTGGCTGGAAAACCACAAGTGGCTATCGTTAGAGCACTCCAGCATTTAAATGTGAATAAATTTTTTGTGTCTCATTCCATCGATCGTTACCGTGATACTGGTAACGTAGCCCGACGTCAAAGAAGTGGACGGAAGAAAACGACAACATCAGCAGAAATGGTTCGAAATGTAAAGAAGCGACTTGATCGAAACTTGCGTCGCAGTGGCCGAAAAATGGCTTGTAAGCTGAACATCGCAATCGCAATATTCCATTCGGCAAATATTGAAAAGTGAGCTCGGGGTAAAGCCATTGAAATTCCAAAAAGTACAAGAACTTACACCACAACAGGCTCAAAAGAGCTAAAGAGTTGCATCGCTTGGCCGAAAGTGGTGAACAGCCGAATTTGGTTTTCTCCAATGATAAAATACTTGTTGTCCAGCAGTATGTAAACAAACAAAATAATCGTGTTTACTTGCCAAAGAGGTCAGCTGAAAATGTGCACCTTCGGTTGGCCACCACAACTCAATGATGGTAGCTATCCTCTCTTATTAATCGACCGTGGCATCAGAATAAATGCCGAATATTATCGCGAAAATATTCTGGAGGGTGTATTACAGCCTTGGGTATGCAAACATTTTGGCCACAGACCTTGGACATTCCAACAGGACTCAGCACCATCGCACTCAGCACGCGCCAACCAAAAATGGTTACAAAATGAGGTTCCTCGATTCATTTCCAGTGCACAATGGCCACCAAAATCTCCGGATACAAATCCGTTGGACTATTGTGTCTGGTGAATTTTGTAAAGCAAGGTTGGCACTAAAAAATACCAAAGTTTCGATCACCTCAAGCAAGCGCTTCGCTAGGAATGAGCCAAAATATCGCAGAGCAACATTCGAGCAGCATGTGACGGTTTCATTGGCCGTTTAAGGCCATATTTCGTGTCAAAGGTGACCAATTCGAACAAATCTAAAGTTATTCTAAAATTTAATGCTATTTTCGACATTTTTGCTTTCATTCAATAAAATTAAAAAAATGTAAAAACTATGACATTTGACTTTGTTGCAGTTTTTTATCTCACCCTGTACAATTTTAAATTTCCGCCTGAAGCTAGTCTATTCACAGACTATTGAAAGGACATTTTAAAGCCTGCTTCATAATTTAGTACACACTCAGGGAAATACGGATATTGGTGGAATCAAGATTTCAAGTGACTCCCAATAACAACAATCTTTCCTTAGACTGTATTAAAAATACTGACACAATTAACAGGGGTACTTATAGGCAAACAAGTCCGCAAGATAATTTTTATAATTTTTTTTACCTTATTTAGGAAATTAATAGACATGTAAATATGGCTCATCTCGTGGAGATCAGCAGACCATTGGATTTATCAATTAATTTTCAACGACAATTTTATCAAATATTTAGTTCCATGGAGGATATGTAGGATAAATGTCCTCTATGTTTGCATACTCTTCGATAAAGTCAGAAGGCATCGACAAAGAAGATTTTCAATAATCTCAACTCAAAAAGTTGCTGATGTTTATGGCTTATACAATTCTTATTTAAATTAGGAAATCGAATGTCCTGCATTGACATCTTTGTGCCCATAGAACTACCTATACAATCTTTAATTGTCCTATGAAATTTCAGAAGATTTCATTTTTTAACATTTCCAAAGCATTCTCAATTTCAAAAGCTCAAATTCAAATTCAAATTCATTTTCAAAAGCTCAAATTCAATAGAAGTCTACTTCTCACATTGAATGGTATATTTACAAAATCCATTTCCAAAATATTGAGCAAATTGATGATACTCTTGTTACAGTTTCTTACAAACAATGTTGGAATATTCCTTGATTGATTTATAGCAGATATTTAATAGAAGTGAATCACAGAAGATAGACCTTAGCCTCGGTACCAAATAACTTGATAAGAACAATACAAAAGGCAGCAATCTCAATTGGCCTTTCCACCTGACAAACAAAAACACACGTATTCAAAAACAAAACAAATACGTTTAAATTTCCGTTTACTTTCCAAGTTATTGAATACCTTCCCGAGATTTCTTTAGACATCTTTCAAAAATTATGCATCTTCAATTATGTAATATTTCTGCATAACTGGTTTGATTTTCTTTGGGTTTCAAATCAATAAATAAATAATTTTTTTAACAAAATTTTAATATAGTAACTAATACTATTTCAATATTAAATTAAAACGCACAAGATGAAAATAGCTGATCAAGAATTACGTTGTAAAGTTTCTACACATTGTGCTAAGCAATGTAAATAAAAATACTGAAAAAAAAAAAAAACTATAAAAAAAAACAATTTTTGTTTTTATTTATACACGGCGGGGCGAAGACGACGACGACCTCTGAAAACGCATGATGATAAAGATGAAACTGTGATGACCAGAGAAAGAGAGACCATATGTATTTCTCGCAGATCAATTCTGTCGACAGACGGAAAATGGGAAGAAGAGACCATTTCTTATTTTTTTGTATCGTTTTGCAAAGGAAAATACCGTATTTTTCTTTTAGTTAATGTTTGCTTAACAAATAATTAAGATAGTCTTCTAGTATGCCGACAACGATTACGAAATATAGTCGCGTACGCTTCTCTAGATGAAACGATAAATAATATTTGAATTTTTCTAAATATTTTCGATATGAAAGAAAACTAAAACGACTTTGCAA